TTGAGCTTTAATCTTCCTCTTATATTACATGTCGCTATATAATTCCATAAAAATCTCATTACAAAAATACTTATGTTTTCGAACCACGAACCTTATATATACAACGCCGGTGCCTTACCGCTAGACCACCAGAACATCTATCGTACTGTTTTCTGCGATCGTCCTTATATTATACGACTTGGTTTATAGCTGCAGAAAAATCGTATTTATTTATTCACTTTTCAATTTCTATTGACAAAAGACACCGTGGCCTCGAACCCCGTACCTTCCAAATACTTCGCCAATGTCTTACCCACGTACCACCAGATCTATACAAATTTGTTAACTTCACCTTCCTCGTATAGTACCACTTGCTTCCTACATGCACAAATTTCTTACATTCTTTTTTTCACAAAAATACTGATGTCTTCGAACAACGTATCTTCTAAACCAGTGTTTCCCAACCTTTTTGATGCCGCGGACCCCCTGTACCGAATGTTAATTGACCTCGGCCCCCATAAAACCCAAAATGTAAATTTTTTATATTTTACATATCATGAAGGTGAAGCAGTAACTTGCAATTTTACAACACTAAATGTGTCATTTATGACAATAAAATACTGTTATAAATGGAGCTTATTCGGAAGATCACGAACATATCAATTAGGCCTAATATTATGAATTTAACACTCACCTAATCAACGATCCACACTTTAACCACCTATCCATATCTAAATAAGATCATGAACAAACTGAAAATCAGAAGTTTCGTTGTGAACTCAAGTATTTGAACAAGAGCAGAAAAACTTAATATTAAACCGAGAAAAACACACTTGTATAATATTATAAAAGTTCGCAGCACAAAAACCAAAGACACACAGGTTGTTCACTCTGCCACTGAAATGAATAAGAAACGTGGCCAATGGTCCCAGCTTTATTCCCAACCAAAGGGGGATGGATTTGGTGGGGAGGGGGAAAACAGGTAAGCAGGACAACAGTCCACCCTGAAACACGGGTCTGAGATGCAATGGCAAGAAAATGTCCTTTGAAAAAGCTAGACAAACCGTTGGTTATTCACCTCTGCTTTACAAAGGGAAGGTACCGTTATGGTACCAACAGTCCCGTTAAATTTTACTTCAACCATGGGCCTCAAGAGCCAGAGATATACATTGCAAATCTTCCAGGTGTGAGGAACATGATAAGATAAAGGTTTAATGAAAATAAACTCCCGCGGACCACAGGTTAGGAACCACTGTTCTAACCCATACTCTAGTGCCTTACCAAATGACCGCCATTGTTATGACAGCTCTTCGCCTTCGGGTCATTCCACGTGAAATCATCCAGAGAGGTCGCTCACAATTTTTAAAAAAATTCAAAATTTGTACACTTATTTCTACGTATTTTCACACCTCAAAAAAAAATGTTAAAAAAACTGTGATCCGCTCGGTTCTCCCGGTACAGCCGTTTTCATAATGTGAAAAAAACACGTTTTCGGCTCAAATGGAGGTTTGCGTTATCTTCTGTATCTCGATAACTATTGAATCTATAGACTCCAATGAAAAACCAACTTGTTCCTCATGATATGGACTATAAATCATATCATTACAAGGTTTTACTCAACTCACTTCCTCTAGGTGTAATTAAGCTTGAAACTTACCTGTCGATTTTGGGAAAAACGCTATTTTTGACCTTCAAAAACCAATGGGAGGGGGAAAGTATCAGATCTGTGGTTTCTACCCTTCACCTACATGAAGAATTGAATCACATAGTTTTGAACATCGTACCTACTTTCCGAAATTTTCCAGGAGCTTCCAAAATTTCAAACTCATAGCAAACAATGCTCTATTCCAGAGTAACGTGGAGTTAAAATTACAACTTTAATATTCAACTAATAGCGTAGTTTCTATAATGCGAAAAAAACGCGTTTTCGCCTGAAATGGAGGTTTGCGTTATCTCCCATATCTCGATAACTATTGAAGCTAGAGACTCCAATAAGAAACCAATTTGTTCCTCATGATATGAACTATAAATCATCTCATTACAAGGTTTCACTCAACTCAATTCCTCTAGGTCTAATTAAGCTCGAAACTTACCTATCGATTTTGGGAAAAACGCTATGTCCATTAAAAACCTTTACTGCCATGTGATTTACTCCTTTACCATATATGGCCAGGTTAACCTGGTAAAAGTAAAAAGTAAAGCTATCCCTGTACCAGGCCATGAAGGCCCATAGGGTTGTGAGACGTTGAGGGTCCCACATTATCTAGACAATCGGCTCAAAGATGGCGGTAAGGTTGTCAGCCTTATGCGCCGGCTGTGCTTTACTCCCCAGGAAAATTATTTAATTAATTCCTGGTACTCATTTCTGTTATATATGTAAATTCATATTTTGTCTGGTTTTTACTTCATAATAATCCTTATTTGTAACAAATTTATCTCTGTTTCTTATTACAAACATCATTAGTGAATATATATATACTGTGATTTTAAAGGCAGTATATTTATTTCCTTGAAGAGATCTCTACATGATTCCCTGTAACCACGACCCATCATCACTCATATAACTTTCTTCTGCATCTTAAAAACCGTTTCAGCATGTTCAAAGTTTCCCCAGTGAATCAAGCCATAAGTCATGGCTGAATTGAAGTAAGAATAATAAATAATTTTCAGGGTATTTATAGACATAAGTGGTTTTATGTTCCTTATCATGTAGAAGGCTGAGCTTAATTTATTTATAACCTCTTCAATATATCTCTCCCAAGTCAAGGAGCTCTCAATAGTCAAGCCAAGAAATTTAATGTCATAAGAGCTCATAATGCATGTATACCTACATTTCCTCTATCCCTCTCAACCAACATACTGTTTTTTGCAGCGAAATTGATGCAATGTGTTTTCACTTTATTTCATGACAATAAGTTCTTTTTAAACCAATTATCAAGTATCCCATAAACTTCATTTAGTGTATTTTTAAACTGTAAAGGATTAGCATGTGAAATCAAGACACTAGCATCGTCAGCAAATAAAACAGGAACACTATTTGACTCCAAAATCTTAGGTAAGTCATTTACATATATTTTAAACAACAGTGGTCCCAGCACTGAACCTTGTGGAAACCTGTTCGTAACTTTAACCCATTCAGAGAGTACATTTTTATTGTCTAGTCCATTTGAAATTGATGTTCTCTGAAATCTATCTTGTAAATAAAACTTATAAAGATTAAACTGTTTATCATTTATTCCATAATACTATAATTTATCCAATAATACTTAATGACTAACACAATCGAATGCTTTCTCCAAGTCACAAAAAGTGCCACTAACTAATGTTTTATGATTTAGTGAATTCAAAATTTCAGATATTAATCTAAAAATAGCATTATCAGTCCTCAGATTTGCTCTAAATCTAAACTGGTGGTTATTTAAGATGTTATTCTTATTAAGATGCTCTACTAATCTACTATACATTCCTTTGTCAAATATTTGATTAAAAGAGGTCAAAATAGGAATAGGTCTATAATTAGAAATAATATTCCTGTCACCTCTTTTGTACACTGGTAAAATCGTGGCATATTTTAGCCTGTCTGGAAATACACCTTCAAACAAAACTCTGTTACATAGATAACTTAATGAAGCACTAATGGAAGTATTATAAGCTTTTAGTACATTATTAGAAATTTCATTGTATCCATGAATATGCCTTATTTTAAGAGACTCTATTATCCTCTGTATTTCAAAACTCGTAGTTTTCCTAATTTGAATTTTAGGAAATAGACTACCAAAAACATTTGACATATAAGTCATGTAATTTCCTGCATAATGTTTAGATGATATATTATTTCTATTTAATTTGATTGTGAATGCTCTCTACTATCCTATTGAAATAATTATTAAATGTCTCCACAATAGTATTCAAATTAATAGTATTTTTACCTTAAATACATAATGTTTGAATATTTTCTTTTCTAACTTTCTTATGTACTTCTCTATTAATTATGTTCCAAGTAGTTGTTTGCAGAATCCCTAACTTGCTTCGCATAAGCCATTCTTTTGGCTTGATTTATCACTGTAATTAATATTCTACAATAATCTTTATAATATTTTTGTAGTACAGGATTATTACTTTTTTTTTTTACTTCTGCATACAAGACCATTTTTCTTCTACAGGAAACTATAATACCTGTTGTAATCCATGGATTCGATTTGTACTTTTGCCTTTGTATTAGAGGAAAAAGATGAGTAAAGGTGTCTCAAGAATATATTTAAAAATACATTAAAACTAGTATTAATATTGTGTAAGAAGACTGCTTTCCTCATAGTATTAATATTACTATTATTAAAAACAGGTTCCCAATTTTCATAACTGAGTTTAGTTTGAAAGTCATAAACTTATGATTATTTATATTTCTTGTATAGTATGTATGTTTCTCTTTAACAATAAATGATGGTAATTTTAAAGCTAAGAGTTGTGCTTCATGATCAGACAATCCCTTAGATGCAGGGAAAGTTTCTGTATCCCTCATATTGCTGATCATCAATAAATATATTATCAATAATTGTCGAAGTACTGGGTCCAATAGGCCATGCCATAGCTCAAGCAGTTAGTCACTGGCTTCCCACCATGACAGCCGGGGTTCGATCCCGGGTCTGGTCAAGTGGGATTTGTGGTGGACAAAATGGCGCTGGGGCAGGTTTTCTCTGAGAACTTCGATTTCCCCTGCCAATCTTCATTCCACCAAATTCTCCATCATCATAATCACCCGGGGCTAATCAGTGGCTGCTGTGCCAAGTGGACCCAGTTGGACTCCACCCCCCACTAAGCAAATTTGGTCCAATTCTTGTTGGAAATGTAACAATACTAATCAGATTAAAAGAACTTAACAGATCCTCCAATTGTCTTTTCCTAAGGCATTCATATAATTAACATTAAAATCACCACAAATAATAACTTTAACATTTCTTTTACAAGGTCTGCAGGGTCTGCTTTTACCGGTTCTCACGGTCTCTTTGCTTGCAAATTTCTTATATATTTTTTCTTCTACCCTGAAGATGGAGGCGATACGTTCCTCCGAAACGTCGGTTAACACCACATATACACGGTGCAAAATCCCAGAAGACTGCTTTCTTCATAGTCACCGCCGTGAAAGCCTCAAATCTTACAATTTAAATGTTGATCATGTCTAGTGAAATGTTTCCTTTGTAATTCCACTTCTAAAATCTCAACATTTGCATGTACTTTGACTATTTCTTTAGTTGCCTATTAAATTTAGCTACTTCGTCATTAACAAAATATGAAAGCAAAAGATCATGTCTAAGTAGTGAGTTTATTAAACAGTATTTACCTTCTTGTTGGCATTCATGAAATTAGTTAGATTCTTTATAGCTTCATGAAGAACATCGATCATACCCAGTCTTAAAGCAAAGATTTGAATCTGGGATCTTCTAAATTCAAAATGGGTGTGCTGCCAACATGACAGTGTTACCATATCTTATGCCTATAGACTTATATGGAGTAAACTGTGTCATGGTGGAAATATAGACTCTAATTGATAGTTTTGCCCATTTTAGGTGTTGTATTTGCTGAGGGTCACCTGTGGTATGAACAGCGGCGCTTCTGCCTTCAACATTTGCGTAAGCTGGGCATGGGGAAACACAGTATGCAAGCACAGATTGCAGCGGAGGCAGGAGATCTGGTGACAAGGCTGCGAGACAAGAGTAATGGTGGGTCGACTCCTCTTAAACTTCATGATGCTTTTGATGTCTGTGTTCTGAACAGCCTGTGGGCCATGTTGGCTGGAGAACGTTTTGCACTGGATGACAGAAGAATGATGGAGCTTATTGACATTGTCCACGTCAGTTTCCGTGTGATCGATACGTGTGGTGGACTTCTCAACCAGATGCCCTTCCTCCGTTTTATCGCTCCTGGTTGGTCAGGATACACGAGACTGCTCTCAGTTCTTAATCGGCTGTGGGGCTTCCTCAGGGTTAGTAAAATTCATCTTGGAATGATGTTGACATGTAATGATCATTTAATCTAAATTCTTAATAAGCTTCCACCTGATGTCACTTAATGCCAGACTTTTGCATGCATGTGCATTTATGTGTGTGGGCTGACAATATTTCAGACGTAAAATTTTCGTATACAAAGGAAACATAAGAAATTCAATATGTTAAAAATTAATAACCCCAGTCTTATGAATATTTGCATTTGTGAGATTGTCATTAGAGTGAAATTTCAAAACCCTTGAAAACAGTGTCATTGATGGGGATTATGTTCCCTAATGACCAAAAGATGTCGCCCCACCAAGGGAACAGAAATCACCAGCCTTATTACCTGAAATGAAATATACAGACATTGGAAACATCAGATTATGCTACAACCATTGGAGACTATGTTATGCTGTAAAAATGTTGATATAAGTTATTAAAATTTTTAAGGAGAAAATCAAAATCTTGTCAGGATGCAAACCAGAGCAGGGCATAACACAAACTGACTACACGATGTGTTCATTTCAGTTTTCATCACATGTGTTCATATACATGTGTTTGTTTTTGTTATGAAGGGATTTTCGAGTGAGTGAGTCTGCGGTTGGATGACAAACCAAACCAAAGGAAACTTTGTAATGCAAGTTTCCATAAAGTGAGGACTATTCATTAGATATCCTTGGTGACAAGTCTAGGGGGCATGTGGTAGTGTAATTGTTTGAAGCACTATGCAACAAGTCATGTGGTCAAACGGTTTGATTCCCCATTAAGGTCATTCGATATTTCAGTTGACCTAATCCTTCCAGCCGCACTATGGCGCTTGGGTCAACTGAGCCTCTAACAGAAATGAGTACCAGGAATCTTCCTGGGGAGTAAAGGGTGGCCGGTGCGTAAGGCTGACAACCTCACTACCATCTGTGAGCCGATTGTCTAGAAAATGTGGGGGCCTCGACCTCTCACAACCCTATGGGCCTCCACGGCCTTCTACAGGGATAGCTTTGCCTTCTAGTGACTAGTGACAGTGAAGTGCCTCGTTACAGTCTCAAGATTAAGGCTTCAATTCCTAATGTTGTATTTTAGCGTCCTGTTGCACTGATTTTTGTCCATGATATATATACAGTGTCCGTCTTGCAGTGCATCCACTTTTACCTGTCACTTCACAACATGTTTCGGCACCACAGTGCCATCATCAGATGCTCCACTTACACTAATCTATTGCATTGCTTGCCATTATGTGAATGTAAAATTATTTAAAAAGTATTTTATAATATTCGTCAGTTATAATAATTTTTTTATACTAAAATCTTGTTAAGATATTCATCTTATCTGTTCCAATTCAAAACCCGCGCATGGTTCCTCCACTATGAGAGTCGTTCCTCTTATATGCCATGTGTATCGCGTCTCGTGATGCGTGTTTCCTTTTTGGCTGCGGGTGTTGTAATGTTAGATGTGCGTGTCTTCGTATTGATTGAGCACTGTATATATATCATGGACTTCAATTCCTGTTAAAAGCACTGGGACTGATTCTGCTTATCAGCATATTGTAACATGGCTCTGGAACTTATAAACCGGATGGAAGCTTCTTGCCTGAGATAAGGCAGCTTGATAAGTCTTGTGGCAAGATTAATGCATAAAACCTTACATACATAACTGATACATATATTTGATGTCTTATATCATCTCTTTTTCGTTAAGGAAAGCACTGTTTCAGAAGTTGGCTCTGCTTCCATCATCAGGTAAAAGTATGAAACCTACTCTGTTGGGTTCATCACATGGAGAGTATGGCAGTAGAGATTAGCTCCCTCTAATAACCAAAGTGAGTACATTTCATCCCTCCTGATGATGCAAGCAGCTTGTAAAACATTATGGTTATTTAACGAAAAGAAGACGGTGGGATACATCAGAATGTGTGAATTTAGGGGCACACCCATTGTCACAGACATTTAGATTTCCATATATATTTTGGTGATGGAACACGGTGGTAGCTTTGCATTCACTACTTTTCCAAAATAGGTGATTTTTGTTTCATGTTTAAGGAAACTATTGATGAACATCGTAAAACGTTAAGCCCTGGTTGTACTAGAGACTTCATTGATTCATATCTTGAGGAAATGGAAGTCAGGAAGAATGAAACAGACTCAACATTTAATGGTGAGTATACTAATATGTACAGTAACCAACCAAGTTCGCTGCTTGTACATGGGGAGAGCTGGCTTCAGATCTTGGCCAGGATACCAACTGTACTGACTGAGGTTATACTCAGTCCCTCCAGTCAAATGCTCCTTCCACATGCATTCCAATTCATTATTTACTCTCCAGTCATTTCACACAATATAGTTTCAGTTACTGATAGCAAGGCAGCACCATAGCTCAAGCGGTGAGTCGCTGGCTTTCCACCATGGCGGCCCGGGTTCGATCCCGGGTCTGGTCAAGTGGGATTTGTGGTGGATAAAGTGGCGCTGGGGCAGGTTTTCTCTGAGTACTTCGGTTTCCCCTGCCAATCTTCATTCCACCAATTGCTCCACAATCACCCTCACCTATCATCTGGAGCTGGTACAATAGGCCAGAAGTGGCCGCAGTACAAGGGACTTAGTCCCACCCCACTAGCAATAAAAAGAAAATACTGATAGCATCATGAAAAGAAATTGTGTATAAATAAATAACACATGATGCAAATCTTTTTATGTGCACTCTTAGAGAGATGAATTGGCGTGCTCGTCATATAGGAAACTCACTGTACATTGGTAATACTGGCACACTGTTTACATATTTGTACTTTTTGAAGTAAGTTTGTGCATAACATGTATGTGTGTTCTCTCTGTGGGTTATTCAGCAGCACTGTAAGTAGCCTGACAGTGTAATGTCGGCTGGTAGGATGAGAGATGAATGATGAACTGGAGAGAATTGGGAAGGAAGCAGTTGTGGTCTGACTGAGGTACTTTCCTGATATATGCCTGGAGGGAAACCATGTAAATCCTATCAGGATAGCTGGGGTCTGAGCCAAGCTTCGAACCGAGCACCTCCTGATGTGCTAGACCAACCTGTTCAGTGTACACACCAGAATGTCTTCTTGTTAACTTCCCTTGCAAATGAATTTTAGCTGTGGAGAAAGGAGAAAGAAAGAAAGTACATATTCTGTATGTGTGTTGATATGCAGACATGCAGTTGGTGTCGCTGTGTCTCGATCTGTTCATGGCGGGCTCAGAGACGACCAGCAGCACACTTGGGTTTGCAGTGCTGTACATGCTGCATCACCCTGAAGTGCAGCGCCGTGTGCATGATGAACTGGATGGTGTTGTGGGGCGCAGTAACCAGCCCACTCTTCAGCACCGGCCTAGGTATGCTACCTCACATACAGACAAACTAGATTGTTAATCTGTATAGTCTTACAGGTGGATACCAGTGTTTCAGTGGCCTCAATTTTTAGGGTTCCTCCATCCTGAACACCATAAATCTTAGTTCTTGCTTCTTGAATTCAGTCGACTTCTTCCATCTCCTCCTCTTCACTGTCTTCTGTTCTTCATCCTCTCTTTTGTACTCTTCAACCTCCTTTATCTCCCCTCTTAGATAAAAAAAAAAAAGTAAGTAAATATATCCCTGTAACAGGCCGCGGAGGCCCATAGGGTTGTGAGACGTTGAGGCTCCCACATTTTCTAGACAATCAGCACATGGATGGCAGTGAGCTTGTCAGCCCTACACGGTGGCCGCCCTTTGCCCCCAGGAATATTCCTGGTACTCATTTCTCTTAGAGGCTGAGTCTACCCCAGGGCCATAGTGCGGCTGGAAGGATTAGGTAAATTGAAAAAATCCAGTGACCTCATCGGGGTTCGATCCTGCGACCTTCCAGCTTGTAGCATAGTGCCTCAACCAACTATGCTACTGCATGCCCCCTCCCCTCTTAGATACTCTCACTTTATGTGGGTTGTCTAATGCCCACGCCTCTCCGTCTCTGTTTTCCCGAAGTTCCTCTCACATTTCCTCCTCCCATGCATGTGACCTCTTTCATAACCTGTAGTTCCCATCTTGACCTCAGTCTTCCAGTTTGGTGTTTTCCTTTTAGATTCACATTAAACATTTTTTTTTTTAATTTCATTTTTGCTTGTTCTTTAGATGTGCCCATACCATCTGATTCTGTTATTTATAAATTTGTCTTACAATTTATTTATCTTCAAATTCTTATTTCTTTTTCATTTCTTATTTTCTGTCTCTCAGCTTCTTGATTTTGTTGAAGTCAGTGAATATTTGTTAGAGAAATTTGACATTCTTGTACATTATCAGTCCCATTATGTTTCTCACCACATCAGTCTGAGATGTCTCTGTTCAGATGACCCAAAGAAACATAATTTAATTTGAAGAATGCCATGATCTGGATGTGGGACCATATAGAGCTTGTTTGAACCAATGTTTCAGAGCAAAGCATCGCCTCCATCTTCAGTGTAGAACAATCTGCGAGTGAGGAACCAGCGTGAGGAGTCAGCCACCTGCTCATGCTAGGTCCTCACTTGCAGATTTCTTTACCCTGAAGATGGAGGCGATACCTTCCTCCTAAACGTTAGTTCATACAGCAGCTACATGGTGCCACATCCCAGAAGATGGCATTCTTTATAGTCACTGCTTTGAGAACCTCAAATCTTACATAATTTAATTTCACTGCCCTCAGTGTTTCATATTATATAATCCTGAATGTCTTTCTTTTGCCTTGTTTAGGTTATGTTACGTTGAATCAGTCATCATGGAAGTGCAGAGACATGCGAACATAGCTCCACTGGGCATTGCACACAGGGCCCTCAAGGATACGAGAGTCATGGGACATTTTGTACCAGAGGTAATATGCTGAAACGCAGAGATTGCTATTCAGTCTCTACTGCTTTGCACTCCTGCTTTACGTTTGTGAGGTCCCAGCATTAAACATCGGCCCCAAGATCATTTTCTTATGAGGGATTTTATGGTTGTCCTCAGTACCTCCAGACTAATACCAGGATAACAGTATCCGCACTGCTGTTGTGGTGAACCAAGTGATCATGTGGGGCAGCACAATTCTAAACATAGTACAGTTTACAGATCATTTTTCTTTTCAGCTCTTTGTTAAATGAGAATTAATTTCTGCTTGTTTTGTTCATAATTTTAACATGTTATACGATGTAAGTAAAACTGTTTCAAGAGTTACTACTGAATGTGCTGGCATAGTGGTAATGCTCATGACTTCTATTTTTGAGGTGCTTGGTTCTAATCTTGATTGGGACACCAACTATTGTGATTGGTAGCTTTTGTGCTGTTCCTTAGTCCCTCCAGGCAAATGCTGGGGGTACCAGCTGGGTTACGCTACCACTGGTGCCTTTCAGATCCGTTCATCTTTATTCCTACCATTTCATGCCATGCAATCTGCCTCCTGACAGCATTATAAAAACGCTCCCAGAAGAGAATCATTACACCGCTTTTCTCACAGCATCTGGAAACCTCTTATTATTAATCGTGATAAAGTTTTGTTTTTAACTGGGGGTGGGGATTTAGGGTTGCACTGACTTTGTGAAGTATAATTTCAAACTGAAATATGACCACTTCTTGCACATCTTTTCGGATTCCTAATTGACTAGCCATCCTGCCATGTGTCACAGGGAGGCCAGGTACTCGAAAGTGACATTTGCTTGAATTGGAGGTTGCTAGAGTGTTAATGTTTCAGACTGGTAATCTCAACCAAGGAAGCAGTAACCTTAGGTTTCCCATAGTTATCTTGAGGAGCCAGGATAGCTCAGGCACGTTTACCAGGAATCAGGATTTTATTTCAATCAGTGGCAGAGATTTTTCTTTTCTCCACAATACCTGGAATGTACATGGGGCCCACTCAACCTATACAGTGGGTAGTGGGCCTCTTGATGTGGAGGCAAAGCAGCACGTGATAAGAAGCTAAGATTAAAATGCATGGAGCTGTACTTCCACCCCTCCATACATCTTCATTGTTGAATTAAGCAGAGGAACAGCTTTATCTGTATCTTCACTGAAACGCCACAGTACTCTCAGGTTTGAGTGCTCTTCTTGTGTGATTGCTAGGGAGCTACCGTGATAGTCAGCATCTGGAGTGTGCATATGGATCGCAAGCACTGGGGAGATCCGGAGGTCTTCAGACCAGAGCGTTTCCTGGATGGCAAAGGTGGCATCGTGCATGACAACTGGTTCATGCCTTTCGGGTTTGGTAAGCTGCAGGATTTGTAATGGAAGTTAATGTGCAGATGTTACACTAGGCTCTGTACTTACTTTGGTGTTTACGTGCTGTGTGTAGTATCTCTTTTGCTCAACTTCTTTATTAAAACCGTCACAACACAACTATATCGAGGTCAGTGCCTAGTTTTGGCTCTGCTACATGTTTTGGCTATTAAAAGCCATCATCAGGCAAATACATATATACACCACTGAACTGCAGTATTAGTAAAATTCGATACAATAATATTAATTATATAAAATACTTGACGTAAAATACAACAAATTACAAAGTTAATAGAAAGTCCGTCGAGTGTAACAATTTGTAGGTCACTTCTTTATCACTTCTGCCTTACATGTTTCGGTTTGACACAACCATCATCAGAGGCACTTACTACAATTATGAAAACACTGTCGTTGTTTATGATGTTCACAGTTATGTTGTTGTGTGGACGCTGCTACAATATGTTGACGTGTAAAAGCACAACACTTGCTAGGATAGTTGAGTACACTATCAATTCTCACTTTCCATCCGAAACTGTTTTTTAGGTTAAAACGCTAACGTTAAAATATTTAAAATATTGGAAAGTGAGAATTGATAGCGTACTCAACTATCCTAGCAAGTGTTGTGCTTTTACACGTCAACATATTGTAGCAGCGTCCACACAACAACATAACTGTGAACATCATAAACAACGACAGTGTTTTCATAATTGTAGTAAGTGCCTCTGATGATGGTTGTGTCAAACCGAAACATGTAAGGCAGAAGTGATAAAGAAGTGACCTACAAATTGTTACACTCGACGGACTTTCTATTAACTTTGTGATTGATAGTGTAACGGACCAAAAATGAAACAATTCAAAATACAACAAATTAGTTTATGCAGGGTGTTTCAAAAAAGAGCTTTACAACTTTGAAAGCTTATATAAATTTATACAGAGGACATACACAATGTTCTGAACTGTCATAATGTAACAAAACATACCGAGTTTTACCTCGGATAGTTATGGTTTAATGTGACTTCCATTGGTAATGCGGCAGACGTCCCACCTGTAGTCAGTCTCTTGCCACACGCTACGCAGCATCTCTGGCGTCACTTCTGCAACTGAGGCAGTAATTCGAGTTCGGAGCTCAACGACCTTTAATGAAACTCCATAAGAAAAAATCCAGGGGAGTAAGTTCTGGGGAACAAGGTGGCCATGCTATCGGCGCCGCTCTACCAATCCACCGACCTGGGAAACGGGTGTTGAGGTACTCGCGCACTTCTCCAATGTAATGAGGGGGTGTGCCGTCTTGCTGGAAGTGAATGCGTCCTCCTTGGTCATCTTCGCCTGTGGAATGAGGAACTCTTGGAGCATGTCCAGATATACGATACTGGTAATGGTCGTCTCCATGAAGATGAAGGGGCCGTACACTCTTTCTTTGCTGAGGGCGCAAAACACGTTCACCTTTGGGCTATCACGAATATGTTCCAGGGAGAAACGTGGATTTTCGCTGCCCCAGACCCTGCAGTTGTGGGTATTGACCTTACCATTGACATGAAACATGCTCTCATCACTGAAAATTACGGAGTCCAGAAACTTCTCATCGTCTTATATCCGATGAAACATTTGCATACAGAATTCCTTACGAACCACCTTATCTGCATCCGTAAGGTGTTGAACGATGGACAGTTTGTACGATTTTTTGGGTAAACGTTTTCGTAACCCTCGCCACACAGTGACATTTCGAATACCAGTTTCTCGAGACGCACGTCGCGTTGACTTTCGTGGACTTCGAACGAACCTCTCTCTAATCTGTTCCACTGTAGCGTCAGAAACACGTGGCCGACCGGGTGGCTTGGCATGGTGCACAGAACATCCGGTCTGAACAAAGTTCTTGTGCCAGGAGTAAATTGTAGTCCTACTGGGAGGTTTCTTGCGATACTGAGTGCGAAATTTCCTTTGAACTTGTGTAGCAGACTTCGTTTCTTCGAACCAAAACACACAAAGACCAAGCTCTGCACCACTGAAACCATCCATCTAGATTTCAACTGCGGGAGCGCTGGCGGTGGCGGTATTAGATACTACAGTAACACGTGCGTGAACTTGCGTGAAACTCCGTGCGTTTTGGTACAATATGGCAGTTCAAGACCATCAAGACGTTGTGTATATGATCTGTATAAATTTATATAAGCTTTCAAAGTTGTAAAGCTCTTTTTGAAATACTCTGTATAAAACAAAAGTTATAGTATAAAACAAGAATCAAATTCTTCGATTGATGCTTTACATCATCTAGTCAGTCGTGGGGTTTTGTAATTTTGTTGCGTTCCCACGGACAAATTGGAGTATTCTGTATTTTGTATGTATATAAAAAAACTGTTATTGGAGGCTCGTGATGTAGATGTAGTAATATTAATGTTAATTATTTAGTCAGTGCCACATTTTACAGAGTATTGTCCGTTCTGTAGGGAATCATTGTGCAGTTTACATCTCCCGAAATATTTGATGTTCACCCATCGATGGACGAATGTTGGGTTAATGAAATGTATGTGTGTGTGTATGTATGTCGTTCAACACCCTCATTTAAGTATAATTTTTTTAGGTTATTATGCCTTCTGTACACGGAATACAAGGAGAGCCTGTATATAGGTATCATCAGGAATGTGCACGCATCTGCATGGTTCAGCTAGAGAACTGTGGGACAGATTTTGAGAAATTTTTATGTGATTATAATGCCATTGTTGGCCACCCCAAATTTTGCTTGAAAACTGTCCGTGAGGATTGTTGTGTGGCTGATATTTGAATTGGAGTCCAGATGTAAAGTAGGACTTTGTTTAATATTCTGTCCATGATTGTCCTTATTGTTCACACAATTTACAGTGACTGTTTGAGTGTTATTACTCAAGGGTTAAAAGATTTTTAGTACAGTGTCACATATTGTTGAGATTATCATGTTACACTAAACGTAACCTCACTGTGTAACCAGCCAAGTTTCTGGCGAGAAATGAAGCCCCCAGTTTGACGACCAAGGATATGATAGTGTGCTGTGTGGTCAGGGCTGTTGCACACCTCAGGGGGTGGTGATAGATGAGTATAGAGCAATGGCAGAATGATTAGCTGGAGGGAACCAAAAAATTATGAGGGAAGAACTGGCTCCATTTGCAACTTTGTCCACGACGAATCTCACATGTCAAGATTAGGAAAGTTATGCTCCAATGTGGAGCAGCCAGACATATCATGACTTTTGATGTAGAAATGAAACTGTAATGTTGGGCTCATTGCAGGTAAAAGACGATGTCTTGGAGAAATTCTGGGCAAATCAGGTCTCTTCCTGTTCTTCTCGACCTTGCTGCACAACTTCTCGATCTCAGTGCCTCCAGGACACCGTCTACCATCTCTGGAGGGCAGCGATGGGCTCGCACTATCTCCTAGACCCTTCTATGCGAGTCTTGTTCCAAGAACATGAGTCAGTGAGCCCAAGAGAGAAACCAGATGCTACAAGTTGAATCTTTTGTTATTCTCTGTTGATGATTTTGAGTGTCTGTGAGTAGACTGTACAGTAGAAGAGCATCAAGGAGGACTTTAGAATTAAATTTTAATGGAAGGAGACCTGTGGGACAACGTAGAACAAATTTATTAAAAAAAATCAAGAAAGGTAGGTTTGGGGGGAGATAGAATGAACTCGAGACTTTTCACCCCTTGATATATATAAACTGGGAATGATGCTGGAAGAAGATAAATATGTCGTATCTTTAGAATGTTCAGAGACAGGAGGCATACCGTGGATCCAGCAACACCAAGAATCACTTACGTTCAGCTGGCCTCAAAATATCACCCTCCAGTTGGCGCATGCTTCTGTTAGGGTTTGTACATTTATAGAAGCCCTTTACCTCTCCTCCTCTACGACCCTTTTCAGGGACACAGTATTATTTTAAACCACTTCTGTTAGTTGACTCTAAACCTGAGTCCTTATTCTCCCTTTCCCTGTGTGTGATATACTCTCCTGTCCTGAAGATGGAAGCAGTATTTAGTCCCAACGAGACTATGCGGTATCATAACCCAGTAGAACACAGTATGAATCTTCAGTGCATAAGAGCCTCAGACCTGAGTTTTGGTTAAGTTATGTCACGTTTTAATGGTGAATGACATTCTTACATTATTCCATTGTCTCTCAAGTAGGCTCAGACAGGGAACGTTTGGCTGCTGTGCCAGGCTTTGTTAGCTAACATTGTCATTCTCTATGAAAATTTGACATGTAGGGATTTGTGCAAAGGCTCTGTGAGTAATTTACACTTTATAATTTTCAATGAGTCGATGATCAACGAATAATTAATTGGAAAGGATTTGGAAGGAAAGGGTCATGGCCAAATTTAAACTACTGTCTCAGAATCTGCCTGGAGGAGCTGAGGAAAATCACAGAATTTCTCAGGATAGCCGGACTCTGGGCTGAGATATAAACATTGGAACTTCTGAATATGAAGCAGGATTGCTGCCTGCTTGACTGAGATGTTTGATGACAATAACATAGTAATTTATTAAAACATTTTATTTTTCAATAAATTATTAATATAACAGTTAACAATAAAATGACACATATTGTACATCTAAAACATCTTTGAGGGTGTGTCAGACCTTGAGTTGTTAGAAGTCCTGTTGTTCAATGAGCCCTTTGGTATGGCAACTTTCCATTGTACAGTGAAAGTAGACCCTAGTTTCTCTTCATGATATGATCTGCAGCTATATATTATGATGACACACACTCATAAATGCTTTAGGCATGTGTAGTGACCAGTTCTGTCCATTGGTTTTGGGTTGGTCATACCCACATGAACACATGCCTTGAATAATGCATGTGTACTGTGTGAATAATAGTGACTAGTGACTAAACAGGCTGGGCACAGCCTGGGAATAGTCAAACTGTAATAGAAGACAGGAGTCATGTTGCAGAAATTAAAATGTTGGTCTATATCTGCCTTCAGAATGTGTAATAGAAGTTTCATTTTGAAGTTTGTTGGTTGTTGGTGTGCTGAACTCTGAAAAGTTAGGACATTAAATTTTTGTGTCCATGATTAAGTATCAAAATTTGGGACTCTGACAAAAATGTATAAAACTTTAAAAACAGAATAAATTATAATATTATAATATCAGTTATTCAGGAATATAGCCTATAATTCACGCTACGGGAATTTATATGCTGCGTTATTTACTCAACAAAAATTCATCTTCTGCTTTTTCTCTGCTCCTTGCAGTAGGCAGTGTTGTCTGCAAAACTGTGGAAGAAATTAAATAATCATGTTACATGGGCACCACAAAATTCTTTTCTCTCCCCAAAAGAAGGGCATCCAGAAATGCTTACAAACATACATTTAAGCCATTTAAGACTATGTTTACTGATTGCCCTAGAGTATTCAGGATAAAAGAATACATTTTTTAAGTACTTTGAATTTTGGGTATGAATTATTTTGTGTATTTCATTCTTTGCTTTTCTTTTAAGTTTGATTTTTTTTTTCTAAAATTCCAGGGGGGAGCAGCAAATGCCTGGGTTTCCCTGTCTTCCAGCTCCATCTTCACATTATATTATTCTATATATATATATCTTCAGTTTGAAGAGTTTCTTTTGAAAAAAAAACTATTAATAAATAAAATAGACTTACAGCCAGGAATTTATGAATTTGCTTAATGGTACTGACATGGAAAAGCTGCTTTACGTAAGGTGGCACAGGAAATGTGAAAAATGTGAAGTTCAGGAGATTACACTCTTCAGGAATGTCTCTTAAGATAGTTAATAATGTTTTGGAAGAACTTGTTGCTTCCATCTTCATGGTATTGTATATACACAGTTGTGAAGCACAGGGTACCATAATTACAGCAGTAAGGTCTGTTATTTCTGACATATGAAAGATGTATCTTTAATTAAAGCAAATTAGGGTATTTGCACCTCCTTACCAAATACTTTTGATTTTTGTTATGATTTTGTTGCCTGCTCGGTACGTGGTCTCAGTAGGACTTCATATGGTGGCGGTGACATCGTGATGCCTGGTATTGGTTTTGAGGAGGGCAGGTCTTTCCCAGGCACTGACAGGATTTCAAAATGCTGAAGGATTCCAGCAGAGAACAGAAAGACACAGCTTCTACCCAGTGCCTCTCCTAGGCAACGTCTTTTGCCTGAAATTAGAACATGATAGTATTGCATTTCAGGTTCTCAGCAGTGACTATGGGTTGTGATGCCATGTACTGTGGAGAGAGCCTGATGTTTCGTAGGAACATCGGGCTCTATCTTCAGGGTTCAAAATGAGGCCAAGCAAGAAACCAGCAGAAGTATGCAGCAAGCTTAGCTCATTTGGCATAATTTTTTACCCTGAAGATGGAGGCTGTATGTCCCTCTGAAACGTCGCCCTGTTTCCATACTACATGCTGTTGGAACCCAGAATTATAATGTTATGTTTATGGCTAGAATTGAACCAGAACACTAACATTGGTATGTCAGAATTAAATTATTGAGAAGAAAAAGTAAAATTTAGAGGAACACTATACCTGACTAACTGCATGGAGCAAGTTCATGCTCGAGAGGTCATGCTTCTCACTTCTGTTTAGGAGTTTTCTGATTCGAACCTCAGATGCAAAACTGACTATGGTTTTCTTCACTCTGTCTGGGCACTCGTGAGGATATAATCTTAAATTACATCATGACTACCTCATTTAACATTCTTTCCAATTCATTACTCCCTGTCATCCACTCATACAACTCAATATAGTCCAAATTGATGACAGTGTCATTAAAGAACCTACAAATAAAAAAAAAGTAAAGGTATCCCTGTAACAGGCCATGGAGGCCCATAGGGTTGTGAGACGTTGAGAGTCCCACATTATCTAGACAATTGGCTTACAGATAGCAGTGAGATTGTTAGCCTTATGTGCTGGCCACCTTTTACCCCAGGAAGATTACTGATACTCATTTATATTAGAGGCTGGGTTAACCCCAGGGTCATAGTGCGGCTGGAAGGATTAGGTCAACTGAAAATCCATTGACCTGAAACAGACAGTCCTTAAACTATTCCATGCAGTTTCTCCTCCCATTTGCAGCAGTGTTATGAACTTACCGACCCCAAAGTTTAGTAACCAGTCATCTTTAATCAGTTCTCCCTGCTTGTTGATGAACCTCTCAGGTCGGAACACATCGGGATCGCCCCAGTGCTTCTGGTCCCTGTGCACAGACCACAGACTGATGAGTACTGTCGTGTCCTGTCAAAACGGTAACACTTGTTACAATGCGACACATTTTACATTATGTAACCCCTGACCACCATGATACAGCAGAAGACAGTAACGCAAAACTTTTCTGTGACATGAGGTTTGAGGCTCTCAGAGTGGTGTCTCATGGCAAAGATTGCATGTCTTTTGGTATGTGATGGCATGTATTGTGGGAGATTGATACTGTGACATGACACCTGGAAGCCGGAATAATTCATTGCTATGCAACGGCTCAGTAAACACATTCCCATGGAAGTGAATGCGCACAACAGTAGAAGAGCAGTGTTTCCTGTGGTCCACGCTGTGCACACTGCTATAGAATCATACCCTAAAAACATTTCTGCAGCAGTGAATTAGCGCACAACAATAGAGGAAGCAGTGTTTTCTGTGGGGGCCATCCTGACACTATAATAATCTCACACAGCTAGATTTAGAATTGAATTGAGTGTCTGGAATTGACAGGTGGCAGGGTAAGGGAGGAAAGGAATTAGGCTATGCAAAGCCTTCTTGTGTGATTTGAAGTGACAGTGAGATTGTTATGAATCCGTTGCAAGGGTATGACTAGTGAAGACCCCAGTGTTTGCGACAGTGAACTGGAAAGTGCGCTGTAATTGCCTAGTAGTTAAGAGTGAGTGTACGAGGTGTTAATAAATCCAATCATTGAATCCAAAACCCATCTGTAAGTCATGCAAACCCCCCCCCCCTGTAGGTGACAATATGAACGTTGGGTGGGGGTGGGGGCGTTGCATCCATTTCCTGGGTAGAAGGCCCAGAAGTAGGAGACAGCAGGTGTTCTCAGAAGTGTTCATAACTTCCCACCAGACTGCACTGTCTCACATGTCAGGCAGGACTACTACTCTCTGAGAGTGTTACTAACCTTAGGAATGTTATACCCATTCAGGATTGTGTCCCGTGTAACTCGTCGGGGGCCAGTGACTGGTGTGACAATGTACATCCGCTGCAACTCCATCAGCACCGCTTCTAGGTAAGGCAGCCTGAACAGACCAACTGTGTCAATTTATGAGGAACAAAGAAAAATAATATTCACTACACTGCACCAGAATATCATGTGACATATTCATATCAGTGGAGGTGGATTAAAAATATGTCATTTTTAATCCTTTGAAGCACATTGGTAAGTATGTGTACCACCTGCTTCAACATTAAAAAGAACACTCCACATTCTGTCCACGCAGTGTACTTATGTATTCCATATGATTCTTACAATAGACTGAGTTTATAAGCTAGATGACTGCAGTCTTCCGGGATATGATAACATGTAATGCTGTTATGGGTAGATGGAAGTGTTTCAGGTGGCCTTGCTGCACTAATGGTGAAGACAGTAACTCTTCTGAAATGTTGGTACCTCTGCATCCACTGCATGTTTTCCAGTTCCTTAATATTCACCGCTGTGTGATCCTGAAATCTGAATTCTTAAATATTATTTAGATGAATTTCTGGCTTCAAAGATTTCAGTAGCTTTTCTTACTGCGAAGTGCTTGAATAGCGCTACCGTGCTTCTTGGGTTTAATGGGATGAAGCATTGGCCAACAGTCACAAGTTCGGCAGGCACACTAGCATTCTCTGCTGCCGGACATAACAGTATGTACCTTGCAAGCTTGTGACTGCATGCCTTCCTGTATGGAGTTGGCATGAGGATGCAGCAGTCGTTATGCAGTCTTTCACTGGAGCTGAAACTTGCTCTGTCACATGGAAGCATGGCCAGGGATCTTTTATATCAAGATGTAACCAAACTTACATCATAAATCTGAAAATGTTAGAGTAGGTTGTTCCCCTACTGCATAATGAGGAGCTTCATAACATGTACTCTTCTCCAAGTATAATTAGAATGAGCAAGTCAAGGAGGATGAGGTGGGCAGGGCATGTAGCACGAATGGAGGAGATGAATGTATATAGGATATTGGTGGGAAAGCCAGAAGGAAAGAGAGCTCTGGGAAGACTAAGGCGTAGGTCCATGGACAATATTAAAATGGATCCTAGAGAGATAGGATGGTACAGATTGGATTGATCTGGCTCAGGATAGGGACCAGTGGAAGGCTCTTGTTAACACGGTAATGAACCTTCGTGTTCCTGCTGGGAAATTCTTGAGTAGCTGCAGAATTGGCGGCTCCTCCAGAAGGGCTCAGCTCCATGAGTGAGTAAGTAAGGATATTCCCCTTTCCTCAGGAAAACAAAATTGCATCCTCAGAAAGCTCCATTCTCTTTCATTCTTCCATTTCTAACCTGTGACACAATAAACGATAGTGCCCCTTGTAAGGGGCATCGTTTCACATCGTTTTGAATTGAATGGGGCTTGGTTCCTTCTTCTATCTCCTCTCCTTGGCTGTCATGACCACTGCCTGTAACCTCCCTGTACAATGCAGTATGTCTGATGAATAATAAGACATTCTGAACATTCTCTGAGAATTTCCTGTTAGGTTCTAACCATTTCTGTTGCATTTTACTTTAGTGATTTTTTCCAATATATACACACACACACACACACACAAGTTTTTGGATTTTCAGATAGGTGAAAATAGCTGAAAACACTGTTGGGCTTCTAACCGCACTTCCTGGATCAGTAGCCTATCTCTGAAGATACACCCTTCAACTCTGAAGGCTGAGGTAGCCTGTTCCTCCAGAATGTGTGTATGGCCATGAAACTACGCATTCTCACAACCCAGAAGACTACAGTCTTAGGAATATGGCAGCCTATAATCAATATTAGGTATGTATTGTTCAGCTTGGCAACATACTGCGGTTTGTCGCTTAGCTGGGGTAACCTGTCCTTCCCAACCACAGTGTCGATCTCCTTCTGTGCTTTCTGCTGGACATCCGGATGAAGAAGCATCATGAGCACCAGGAAGTCCAGTGTGGCACCAATCGGAATAGCGCCCGCAATGAAGAAATCCATGCAGATTTGCATCAGCTGGTCATCTGGAGGCACACACACATGTCAAATCTGAGTCGCGACTGTGACTTTTAAACATGGCATCATGATGCAAATGTTGTGACTTTATGTCACCCAGAAATAAACCTTTAGAGTCATACTGATCTCAAAGTAGGAAGTGTTTGCAAGTGTATACTGGGGGCTGTTGGTTTTTAATTCTGGTCATGATATTGACGAATGTTCAGTTAAGATACAGCCCTTGAGTTAATCCAGTTCCCTATCCTAGCGGTTGATCACTGAACCAATGGTTGAGATTATTTCTTTCAAACAGACGCAACTGATTGGCACCTTGCCATTTTCTCACCTGAAGACGGTGAAACAGATCCTTCTTGGATTTGAGGTTCTAACAGTGAAGGCTATGAAGTGTACAGCCTTTGGGCTGTAACACTGTGTACTTCAGAGAAGGCCTGATGTTTCAGAGGAGCATATCACCTCTGTCTTCAGGTTGAAACCAACACGGAGCAGGCTGCAAGGGGAGGTCTGGAGTACATGGTGTTACAACCAGAAGACCACACTTTTTGGAACAGATAAGAGTTCCCAAAACATTGTGTCCTTTTGGAGTCACAGATGCCAGTGGAGTGGAAGGAGCAAGTCAGGTATCGGCCCCAACCCCTCAGATGTTTGGAAGAAATCAATGTTTGAGAAATGAAGGAAATACTTAACAAATGCTAATGCCAAACTTAACGTAAATTTTAAAGACGTATTCTTCTATCCTAAATATGCTAGGACTTAAATATAAATTTCTAGGAAAAT